CGATCTAATTAGGTAAAGGTGTTTAAAAGTGACTTATACTTATCTTAGCTTTTTTTTTCCCCTTTTTGTTTTTTGTAATTTTTTTATCAAGGTGTCGAGACCAATGTCAATTCCTATTAAATAGAAGACTTGTTAGATCAACTTGAATTTTCTAATTACTCTAAGAAGATGTATTTTTAAATAATAAACTAAATTTGATGTGAGATCGTCATCGGTCTCTAGAACCTAGCGAGACTTAACAATCTCATATCTAGCTAAATAAACTTAAATAATTGAAAGAAAATTGAATTATAACCAAGACATAACAAAGTAAATAACAAACAAAATCTAAATTCAACCAAAATTTATAGATAACCATATATATCTATAGCAAATGGACTCTTAAAATTACAAAATTTAAAACATGGCTAAGGATAAAGTATACATATGAACCTTAAAATTTTCAAAATAAAATAAAATTGGATATTAGACTAAATAATTAATTTTTTTAAAAACAAATCACACTAATAGTCAAAATAATAAATAAATAATAAATTGACTCCTAAAATTATAAAAATTAAAACTTAGGTTAAGGACATATATATGTATAAACTCTAAAAATTTCAAAAACAAAATAGTTAAAGTCGAGTTGTCAAAATGAATGAAAATCAAAACTAACCCTAGGATTAAAAATCTATCAATTTTACCTCTAAATCAGTTCACATTAAGGACCTAATTACAAAGATCCTATAATTATGAGGACTAAACACAAAAATAAGCTTCCTTCCATCTTTGAAAAAAAGAAGCTTTCTTTCATGGCTTTCATTAACAACAATCAAATGTCCCTCCCTATTTTCAATTCATGTGGGTTTTATCTTCGAAAAAGTCATCCAACTTCCTCATGTACCTATGAAATTTGAGTTAAAATTGTTCTCTATCTACCCTTTCATCCTAGAAAGAGCTCTGAGAGAGAAAAAATAGAAGCCATGAAAAAAATGTTCTACCTTTTTAGGCTTTCACCGGTAGAACCGAACGAGGCTATAAGAGAATGGTCCAAGGACAAGCTCTTCTTTCTTTCCATATGTTGATGTTTTGTGGATGTGGAGAGGATGGTGAATGGCAATAGTGGTTAGTGGTTTGAATACAAAAAGCTTCCTCCCCAATGGTGGATGACAGGTGGTGGTCCGTGGACCTCTACCCTATCTTCTTTTTTTTTTTTAAAAAAAAAAAAGGTTCTATTCCTTTTTCTTTTTTCTTTTTTTTTTTTTACAATATCCAAGACTCGCAAAACCAAACCGGTCACCTCTAGCCTCTTCTTCTCTTTATTTGTCTACCAAACCCTTCGCCTAAACTTTTTTTATGCCCTCTTTCCATTCTCTATCATAGGATCTTTTCATCTCATCCTAGCCTTGGTTACTATTATCCCTCTCCCATTTTGTGCAACAAGCATCAAGCATCGAGGCCAAAGACCATAATTGCCTTCTGTCACTTATGTTCTCTTGTCTTATGGTAGTAATCATTAATATTACATCCTAGTCGGCTAGGATAAGGATGTCAACCAAGCCTACAATCTATCTTGTCTTTATTTCCATTTCTTTGGAATATAGAGGAGATGATGAATGGTATATAAGGGGATGAAATGGAGACAACGAGACAATAGGTCCTTCTTGGCCAAACATTTAAATTTGTTATGTTCCGCATTTATCTCTTCCAATTTTGTGCCTTCATGTTTCAATCTCCTTTCAATCAAGTCCCTTGAACAAATTATTTTGATCCTTCTTGTCTTTATTTCCAATAATAAGCCTTTAATTCTCTTTAATTATTCCTCTAAAATTCTTAGTAGTCGTGAATTGGCCCATAATTAATACTTTTGAATTTAATTACAATTAAAATCCTTAATCACTTAATCCAAAATTAGCCCCATCTTTTTTCTTTTCTTTTTTTGTATTTATGATAAAATGATGAATGAGAAATTAACATAAAACTAAATAGAATAAAATGGAATAATGATAAAAATTAAAATTCGTGGGGAACCTACACTATATAGATAAAAGGAATTTGCAAAATGATCTAAAATAAATATGTGGGTCAAAAATTGAGTTATGGAAAAGGGATTGGCTAACATTGTGCGCATTGGATATATTTGGTTAGAAACCAATACTACATGTAAGTTTATGCTTAAAGATGATAGGTATGTACCCAATGTGCACCTACATTTGATCTCTACATATACACTTGATGAAAAAGGCTATCATAATTTCTTAAAAGATGGTAAATGGAAGCTCTCTAAGGTTTCTTTAATTGTTGCTAAAAGCAAAAAGACGAGTCTTTACATGTCTCAAGTCAAGATGATTAAAGAGAAGCTGAATGCAATTGAAGATACCTATATCAATTTATGACATAAGCAATTTGGATATTTGAGTGAGAAAGGCTTTAGTATCCTTGCCAAGAAGAACCTTTTTTTTTTTTTTTTGAAAGGTACGAACTTGAATACTTGCACTTATTGTTTAGCTAGTATTTAATACACTTCCTTCATCTTTTTCATTTACTATACCATATCTTACTCGCTATCTAAATAGTATTATTAACTATTCGTCTCTCGTCCATAGCATTTCTATCCAAACCTCGTATAGCTATTATTATTAGCGTTCCTTTTCAAGGGTACTTTATTCAATCCATACATTCAATCACCTATCATATTACTCTCCCCTCTTTTAAATCTTTATAATTACTTCAGCCATAAGTACATTAACATTCAAACATTTTTAATCAAAATATCATTCATACGCCATCACATAAACACATTAGACAAACATACATTTACTAAGCAACACATACCTTTTTATCCTTACTTTTCGCCGACACCAAACTTGTGTGTGCTTAATTGATCGTCCTAAATCAAGTCACTAGGGTCGACTTCCTCTAATACCACTCTGTAACAACTCCAACCTACAAGCTAAATAGGTAAAGAGTATTACCGGCGTTGACTTACATTCGATATACAATAAATGCAAGCCAACAAGCCTCTTTCCTTAACATTTCTAAAATACTAGCAAAATGGTAGTTTTCATACAAGGTCCCTAATGAATAAGAAATAATAGGTCCACATTAATTAAAACTTAACTATAAAAATTTTCAAAAATTCCACTAATACCAATTAATATTCCTTCATCAAGTGTAAAAATATTAAATGTCATAATTTGATCAAAAACTCATATTCTTGAATTCCAATTTAACCATTTAAATAAAATACCTTATATTATAGTGAAAAGTACCAAGTGTGTTGATTTTTCCAAATTCCTTCTAAAAAATCATATTTAATTTAAAATATTCAATTTTCAATTTTCAAATACTCTATTAAATATGGGAGGATATTCTACATTATTTTCATTCCAAAAATAATTTAATTATAATATATTCAATTTAATTAGAAAATAATCAATATATATTAAACCACTAAATCTTGATTTAATGCCATTATTCTTATAAAAATTCCATAGACTAGAAATTCATTTAATTAATTCAATTAAGCACTTAATAAATTCATTTAGACCTTTAATTAGAATTTTAACCATTCAAAGCATTTTTTTGAACATATGGAACTTTGTTTCCAAATTTATTTAAACTAGCCTATTAAACTAGTCCATTAAATGCATTCATTCATTAACCATTAAATTTCATTTAATGGCTTAACCTCTCTAACCAATTTTGCCTTGCCATTTTAATTTCATACTTCTTACCATTAAAAAATTAACTTTTAAACCAATTAACCGTTCAATTAATACTTATATTTAACCTTAAACTATTTCCATTACTTACTACATTAATTTCTTAAGTCCAATTCAATTAATTAAATAGCTAATTAATTCCTTAATCTACTAAACTAAACAACTAAGAACATAAATATACTATCTAATTTTCAAACACAAATTCCTCATTTACATACCATAAATTGCTTAACCTAATATCCATTTCCAAATCTAAAAATAAGTTAAGCAAAGGTAAAAGCTCTCACTTATTTTACATAACTAAGCACACGATATGGCAAATTGATCCTTCACCTAGATGACAGTCATTTTCTAACCTTTTATCATCTACACCACAAGAAACTAGGTAAGCATTGTTTAGTAAATGTAATCCATGTGATGTATATAGTTCTCATTATGCATGTAATGCATTTGAAAACCATTTTCATGTCTTTTGAAATTCATTTTTCTCCTTAGATGCACTCGTTGATTGTATATATAATTAGCCCTCTTTTAAAACGTGCAATTTGTGAAAAAACTCATAAAAAGAACTAGACAACTTCGTTTTTCTTCATTCTTTCCTTTCGGAAAGAAAAAATATAAATGGCATTTCTCATTCTTCTCCTTTGGAAAGAATTCTTTTCCTTTTTCCTTTTCTTTTTCTCACAAGAGGTTGATCACTCCTCCCACATAATAATGTCATTTCCTATTTTTTTCCTCTTGAAGGTGTCTCACCATTTCCTTTTGAAAGCATGTCCTTTTCCTTTTCCTTTTCCTTAAAACCATGAAGTAAAATCCTTTTCATGGTCATGATATACAAATGCGATTGAATGAAATGCATTCCTTTATCTTTTCCGCAACCAAGTATACTTAAAATACTAAAGTACATGTAAATAATATTTCAAACATAACACTTAATAAATAACATTCCAAAAACATGTAACATAAACACTCAATCAATCACATGTTTCAAATCAACAAAGAAGACATAAAACAATAAATAAACTTTAAACATCAACAATTCCTTAAGAAAAGCATTATGGTCAAATTAATCATGCAATCTAACCAAATCATTTTCAACATGTAATTAACCATTTTTCATGTCATTTTGTACCTCTAAACCTTAAAAACATCATTCAATTTTAAGGATGAGATTAAGACGGAACCAAAAGTAAAAGGACGAATTTACAATAAAAAGAGTTGAGAAACACAATAAAGAATAAAGAAAAATAGAGGTATCTTGCAACCATTAACCCGTTATTTTTATATCACGGTATGAAATTATGGAAGTGGAGAAATGCTTGCATATTTGGTGATCGAATTCAGCATGATCTTGATGTGAATGAAATTTTAGCTTTGGTCAAGGACACCGAAGTCGCTCAAGCTGGAAATCTAGCAGTCTACTAGCATTTTAGTGAAGCGAAGTGTTGGTGGGGTGGGAGAGACCCCGGGAAAGATGGATTCGAATCAATATGAATGGTTCTAGTAGGGGTAATCCGAGCTTAGTAGTTACGGGTGATTTGATGAGAGATTCCGGAGGTTGCTAGCTAGGCGGTTTCTGTCGCTAATATAGGCACTTGCTCTTCATTACATGCGGAATTATGGGGAGCTTATTATGGCTACCGTATACTTGGAATTTCGTGTGCAAAATGTTGAATCGGAAACGGACTCGTCCATGGTAGCGACCTCTCTCCACGTACGAGTGGTGATAATGCCATAATCGGTCCTTTGATGTCCGCAACTCGAGCATTACTTCGGTGTGATTGCACTCGTGCGTATTAGATATGTATTGTGAGAAGGAAACAAATACTTCCATCGATTAGCTAAAGCTCTTGGTTTTCTCACTTTTTTGTAACCGACCTCGTGGTGTTTATGCTTTGTTGCATTCGGATGCAATTAGGGTGGCTCCATCCCGAATAAGGCTTATGTAATCTCTATTTGCGGAACTACAACCCCTTTTTTTTCATTAAAATAAAATAAAATCATCAATGTATATTCTAACACATCATAATGAAGTTAAAAGTTAAATTCATTTAGCCACCGCTCATTACTTATCTCTTCGATTGATATTCAAGCAAGATAACTCGGTGTTTGAAAATTCGGATTTTCCTATGCGAGTTAAGGATGGCAGTGAGCGAGGTACAAAATGGGTATCCTACTCAGCCCACCCACTAATTATCATTTTAAAATATCCTAATAGGTAATGGGCTAAATATAGATAAAATAGTATTACTCATTTATGTTAATGGACAATTTATTCATGAATATGGGTACCCTCTTTTTACCCTATTAATACCCATATTTTACCCATTAACATAAAAAGTATTAAGACACAAAATTTTAAAATAAATAAAAAAAGAGAAAAAGTATTTAATTAATCATTATGGATGGTTTCATTGATGTTATTATTATTATTATTATTATTTATATATTAAAAAACAAATAGTACTTTTAAGGCACTTATGTAATTAACTACGGTTTCGTTGATATTATTATTATTATTATTTATCATTCAATTTAACATTTATCCAAACAATCACACATGCAATTTGACTAATGAATCTCTCTATTTTATTATTATTATAATTATAATTTGTGAATTATTCTTTGCAAATCTCATTATTAATATTACTCGATTATGCAAGTATAGCGTCAACATTAAATTTATAGGATGGCTAAGATTTTATGGAGGCACAACTTACAAATCAACAAATTAAAAGCAAAAAAAAAAAAAAAAAAAGAGCTCTCAATTAGTTAGGCGCCCCAAGTGAGAGAAAGTAGAGAGAGATGCCCTCCTCCTCCAATGGAGATCTTTCCTCAAGTTCGGTCGGCGTCACCTTTGAACCTCCTTCCCTTTGATTTTTTGCCATCGTCCCGACCTTCCCTTCCCCCAATCGTTTTTGTTCATCTTTTTCTTCCCTCTCGTTTCTCTCTCCCCGCCGACCTCCATTTCCTTCTCCATTCTCCCTCTCCCCGCCCTTTGTCTTCTACCTTTTTTCCCCTCCGGCCATGGCCGAAGAAGAAGAAAACACCCCTAAGTCGAAGACCACACCAAGCCGAACAGAACCGGTCCTTGCTTTGGTTGCTCCGGCCACCGGCTCCAAATCGGTCCGTTTTCGGTCGAACTCCCCCGACGAGTCCAAAGCGACGGCCCTCTCAAACCCTGCGGTTCGTCTGCTGCCGTGGAAGAGGATTTCGGTGAAGAAGCTTCAAGCTTCGATGAAGAAGGGTCGAATTCGATGAGGAAGGCGACTCTACAAGTTCGACTGAAAATTTGGTTTCCCCCTAAAAGTTGAGTGAAAATTTGGCTTCCCGCCAAAAACTTTCAGTCGCTGAAATTTCAAGTTTAGGTGGAAATTTGGTTTCCCGCCTAAAGTTTCCGGCCTCCTAAACTCCCACCTAAACTTTGGTCGGCTCCCACGCGCCATCTCCTCTCCTCAAGCCTCCTCTTCCCTAACATGGGGGCATGTTTCGGCTCCTGTTCCAGCGAGAGGGCTTGAGGTGTTTGATTCCGCTCTATTGGACTCCACCGGACCTCGGGTCGGTGACGGTCCCCACTCTCCTCCCCAAGTCGACCTAGGTAATTCTCAAGCTCTCTCTTTCAAATGGCGTGATCTATTTGCTTCTAATCATAATGTCGCCCTATACCCGAAACTCACTCATTATAGTGCTTATAACTCAAAATAAAAATTGCACTTTGCTTGTCGATGATTCAAACTGCGAAATGTGGAAGTCTTGTCCGATTGGTTATGTTGCCGAAAAGTCTCCGGGCTATATGGCTCTTTTCGAATTATCGAGAACACATGGCAATGTCGGGCTTCGTTATCGATTAATGACTACGGTTGGCTTGTGTATAAGTTTGCCTTTGAAGAAGCTAAGTTATCGGTTCTGAATGGGGGCCCTTATCCGATTTTCGATCGGCCACTTATTGCTACAACCCATGCCCGAATTCTTTGATTTTTCCCTCATTGAAATGGCTCGAGTGCTAGTTTGGGTGAAGTTGTCGAATCCGTCTCTTAACTGCTTGGTCCCCTTTATGACTCGAAAGTGGCTAGCTTGTTGGGCAAGCCTATCCGAGTGTGACCGGTTCATCGCCTCTATGGAACGGATCTCCTTTGCTAGGGTTTTTGTTGAAGTCAACATCATGGAGGAGCTTTCGAAATTCTTAAGTATTGAGTTGTCGAATGGCTCTTCTCTTTGCCGATAAGTGGTATATAAAACGAGTCTCGACGCATTACAAGCACTTGTCGAATTTTGGGGCACTCTACGGCTTCTTGTAGGAAGGCCGCTTTAGTGGCCAACCGCAGTCGAGAGTAGGCCATGCAGAGAATTCGAGCCTAGCCGATTCTCGGAGGCTTGATATTGGAGGAGGCTCGGCGGTGCCTACTAGCCTTGCGGGCGCTCCTTCGAAGGTTGCTCCTTTTGACCTTATGGTTTCGGAGGTCGGGGCTACGACGGGCGAGTGGATATTAGTTTCGGCCGGGCTAAAGCCGGCGCTCGCTCGAATTGATGGCGTCGATCTCGGCAAGCTTTGCTCTCTCGGTTGGGGCGAGCAATCGGATGAGCGAGTTTAGGAATCTCATCTAGCCCTTTCGGTTCGGACGGACGAGGGTAAAGCGCTCGCGATAGATCCTTCACGAGTAGTGCTGGCGCGCGGCCGAGTAACCACTAGTGGTACGGGACGGGAGTAGCGGCCAAGGGGCCGGCCTCCAACGCGAGCATGGGTTCGGTGACTCGAAACCGTCAATAGTGGCTATAGGCGCAAAGGATGGGCCTCCGTTGGTTGGCACTAGCACACGGTCCGTTCTTACAAGCGTTGGCGCGCGGCTGCTGCTCGCTTGGTGCTCGGCCCGAGCGCGGCAGCGCGGGGGACGGCCTCCGGCGAATGGCCGGTTTGTGCGGCTCCGAAGAGGCAGAGGCGAAGATAGGCGCAACCGATGGGGCTCGTTGGATATGGTTAGTGTTGGCTTGCTAGACCTCCCGCGAGTTGAAGGGCCTCGAGCGCGAGCCCCGGCGCTAACCGAGCGCCGCAAGACAAAGAAGACAAAACGGAATGCTAAGAAGGGCTTGCCCTTTGTAGTAGCTTTATGATTGTCCTCTGTTAGAATGTTAAAGGCCTCGATTATCCTTTAAAACAACATGAGGTTACCGGCCTCATGCGTTTGAAAAAGCTAGATGTTTGCGCTTTAGTCGAAACCAAGCTTAGCTTGACTAAGCTAGCTCGCTTTCATCGGTTTCGGCTTAAGCGGTGAAAGCTTGCCTCTAATGCCTCCGAGTCCTTCAAAGCTCGCATTGCCCTCTTTTAGAATCCGGATACGATCTCGATTGAGCTCTTGGATCTTTCTCCTCGAGGTCTGCATGTTCATATTCGCGACCTTTTTCATCGGTCGTAGTTTCATGCCACCTTTGTCTATGATCTTCATACGATCTCTAGTCGTCGAGAGCTGCGGGCGGATCTTCGATCCCGGAATCCTCCTAGTCAATGGCTCATTCTCGACGACTTCAATTCTATCCTCTCTCCGGAAGACAAGCATAACGATGCGGCGGGGTCAAACTATGAGACTTCGAATTTTTGCTCTTGTTGTTTGGATGCGGTTCTACAGGACCTAATGTATACGGGCAGCTGGTTCACTTGGAACAACGGCAATGTTTGGACCAAGATTGACAAAGTTCTCGTTAACCCCCTCGGCCCGTTTCCTATCCGCCTACTTCGGTCCATTTTAGTCCGTCCGAGGGTTTCTCCGACCATGCTCAATCTTGGGTTCGGATTGATAGTCGGCCTCTTATTGGTCGAAAACTGTTCAAGTTTTTCAACATGTGGGCTCTCCATGACAACTTCCTCCCGCTTGTTGATCGTCACTAGGCCCGTGGTATACATGGCACCCCGATGTTCTCTCTCGTCGCAAGCTTAAGACTGCGAAGCGGCCTGCGTGAGCTCGATAAGCTTCACTTCAACTATATTTCGAGTGCGTGGCCCGAGCGCAAGTTGATCTTGAGCGTGTCCAACGGGCCTTACGATCCGACAAAGATAACGGCAACCTTCTTGAGCGGGACAAACGAGCACAAACTAGCCTTGGTCAATCTCAAGTCGAGTAGAGAAAATGTTTTACGGTCGAAGCTCAAATGCAAGTTCCTTGAAGAGAGTGATAGGGGCGATCGGTTCTTCCACTCCCTCGTGAACCAAAATCACAAGAAGAATTTTATTGCAACTATCATAAATGATGAGGGTCAGCTTACGACTTCGCTTTCCGTCGTAAGTGACATTTTTGTTGGGTATTATCGGAGGCTTCTGGTACCGCTCGAGCTACCACTCCCCTTGATGTCGGGGTTGTTTCTCGCGAGCCTTGCCTTGATTCGGACTCTCACGCGCTTCTCCTTGCGCCCGTTTCCGATGACTTAATTCGTGAGACTTTATTTGGTATCGACAACGATAAAGCCCCGTGTCCGGATGGTTTCTCTTCTCTATTTTTCAAGCAAGCTTGGGACATAGTGGGAGTCGATTTTTGTGTTGCCATAAAAGATTTTTCTCCTCCGGTCGACTGCTTAAACAGGTTAACCACTCGGTTATTGCGTTCATTTCGAAATTGGCACATGCCTCCTCTCCTTCAAACTTTTGATCAATTTCCTACTCGTAATGTGGTTTACAAGGTCATCTCGAAAATTCTCTCTTCCAAGTTAGCGGGTGCTTTGGTCGACATCATCGGTCCCATGCAAAATGCTTTCTTAGGTGGAAGGAAAATGTCGGATAACATCCACCTTCTCCAAGAATTGCTCCGACACTATGGCCGTAAGCGTGCCTCGCCTCGGTGCCTTTTGAAGGTGGACTTCAGAAGGCTTTTGATTCTATGCAATGGTCCTTTCTTCGAAATCTTCTCTTGTCGCTTGGCTTCACGAGTACTTTTGTCCACTTAATCATGGCTTGTGTGGAGTCACCGTCCTACTCGGTTTCGGTGAATGGTTGCTTGTTTGGTTTCTTTCGCGGCGAGGGTGAGATCCGACAAGGAGACCCACTCTCCCCTTACTTCTTTATAGTGTGCATGGAATACTTCTCTCGCATGCTCTTGTACGCCTCGGATAGCATTGGTTTTCGTTTTCACCCGTAGTGTGAAGTTCACCGAATCGATCACATTGTATTTGCGGATGATATTATGCTCCTTTGCCGAGCCGATAGGGGTTCGGTTCGATGCTTAACGCGACGATTCAAATGTTTGGCGGCGTCTTAGGTCGACCATAAATTCGGCCAAGTCCGCGATCTACTATGGTGGCATAAGGAGTTCCCTAAAGCAAGCTATCCTCCGGGATACGAGGTTTTTCGAAGGCTCATTTCCCTTTCGTTACCTCGGTGTCCCTCTTAGTCCTCGTCATTTCTTAGCCGACCAATTCTCTCCTCTTTTGCGAGCTTAGAGTCCGCAATCCAATCTTGGATGGGGAAACATTTATCTTACGCTAGTCGACTTGAGCTATTGCGCTCGGTGTTAGCGAGGATTATTCACTTCGGCTAGCAATTTTTCCTATTCCGGCGGTGGTCCTCTCCTCGCATAACTAGCATCTATCGCAACTTCGTGGACCGGGGCTTCGAGAGGGGTCACTCGGCCTTGGTGGCTCGGTCTCAAATTTGTCGATCGAAAGAGGAAGGGAGCTTGTCGATATGGCATCCGCCTACTCTCGACCAGTCTTACCTTGCGCGTCGGTTGTGGGACATTCATCGCAAGACGGACTTTATTTGGATCCGTTGGGTCCATCACTACTATCTCGAGAGATCGATCGGTGTGGCAATGTCAAGTGCGTCAATCTGCCTCTCTCACCTAGAAGGCGCCGCTCTCCACGCACGACAAGTTACTTGGAAAATTCGGGGTTAGAGCTCGGGTTGAGGCGCGTTTCGACGCTTAGGGCCTCGCCAATTTCATTTGTAACACCTACCAAGACCTTCGCTCGGTCGGCAATTTGGTTAATTGGCACGGAGTTATCCGGGAGCAATGGGCCTTGCCAAGACATGCTTTCGTTCTATGGTTGGCCGTTTAAGGGAAGCTCAAAACTATAGATCGACTTCGATTTATTCCGAGAGGATGTCCGTTGTGTCCTCCGTCGGTCCGCTTCGGAATCTCACTCTCACATGTTCTTTGAGTGTCCACCGGACTCGTTTACCTCTAGGCGCTAGTCAAGCGCTATCCGTGCATTCGTCGACGTATGACTACGGCTGCGCAGCGCCATTTGGGGCCTCTCTCTCCGACGGAATAACTTGGAAGCCCGTATGCGTCGGCTTTCTTTGGGGGTCCTTGTTTATCTTATTTGGGAAGAGAGGAACAAATGATGTTTTGATGTTGCTCACTCTCCGACCCCGGTTGATCGTGCTTTCCGCAGATTTCGGGTTACGTTCTTTATGATTTTTCACTTTCATGAGAAGGATCACGGCCTTCTCAATGTTGGTTGACCGTGCCCTCTATCTCGCCTCGGCCTAAATTGGCTCTGTCTCCGCGGCTTCGCTTGTCCGGTTTCGGCGTTTATGTCCGTTTGGTTGCCTTGTGCTCTGTTCTCGCAGTCGGCATTCTTAACATTGTCTCTCTCGTTCGCGTCGGCTTTCCCCGATCGTATCGCCTTTTGGTTTTATCGGCGAAAGTTTTTGTAAGTTGTAGAGCCTTTGTAAATGGTTCTAATTAGCTAGTGTAGGGCCTCTGTTTGGTTGTTCCAAGAATCTCTCTTGTTTGATTCCTCGATCAACCGTCTAGCTCTAGCTCTTTTGCTTTATGTTTTTGGGAGCTCGTTCTCGCCTTTTGTACATTTGTATATGCTTCTCTTGCTGGTATTTCCAGCTTGTTTCACTTTGATTAATATACTTACATTTTAATAAAAAAAAATAATAATAATAAAAGCAAACAATTCACTAAGAAACAATATTGTTGTGAAACAACCAAAATAATTAAAGAAAAGAAGGCGTATTAACAACTGTTTTTGTCAAATTAAAAGGCCCTCTATGATTAAATGATTTATGACATAGTCAAACACCCCTATGTTTACTGATTAAGACAATATAACATTTTATGTTTGGATTTCAGGGTTGTGAGGACAGTTCTTCAACTAGCATACCATTGCTAATGTGCGTTCCTATATACTGGGTTTCAGATGTAACCAATAAACATTTTGGCTCAATGATGGCAGTATTCCGTAATGTGGCTCATTTATTATCTTGGGTTTAAGATAAGATGGACGCCAAGCGGGATGCGCTTTGCCTGGCTGCCTTCTTCATGCCTTACTAATTCGAGTTGGCCCAAAGTGCTACACGATTGTGAGGACTTCCCTCATCTTGATATTTGCTTCTAGAATTCAAGGGGAAGGGCTTCTGACCAATTCGGATTGCCTATTCCAATTGCTGTGCTTTCTTAAATTTCATATCTATACAAGGGTTAAAGTTCTCATCGATATTTAAAGCTGATTATCCCTCTCGAAAACGAAGATTTGAAGTGGTCTATAATTTAATTTATGTATTCTCGTACAAACGAGTACACACGAAGTAACAGAGATATTTCCAAAGGAGTCCATAGCAGTGCAGACTTGAAGGCATTCATAAGAACAAAGAGAATTGTCACTAGATAGGCTCTTGTTGGCAATTGAGTTCGGACTTTGGTGTAATATGAAGACCTGTACCAAGAACTTGTTCCTTTGGGAAATTCAGGCTGATTGATGACTATCATGAAAAATTACTCACTTAAAAAAAAAATCAAGAAGAATTACACTAAAGATTATTTTTCACATCATTGTACGCCTATCCACGAGCTATCAGTTGCTTAAAGGGGGCAAATATACTTATAATAGGTCCTTGAATTCAGTCAAACAAGGTAATTAACGGGAAGGTAAAAATAGTTTCATATAAAAATAGTTTCATATACACCGGCATCAAGACATCCAAATACATAGTTTTACATTTTTTCCCGTCAGCGGAAAAAAAAAATTGTAAAAGGGATGAACTTACTATTATTTGTCTCTGTACAACATTAAAAAAGAATAGCATTTGGCTTTTTCCTTTTTCTTTCCCCATAACCTTATTGCATATAATATGAGAATGCCTTTGAGATCAAAGTGCATCGCGGTTATATAGATTGTAACCAGAGATAAGGGAGCTACCAGCATAGGCAATAAAAGCCAGGAAGGCCATGACAACAGAAGCAGTTGCCATCTCTGTGAACTCATCTTTGCCCCAGTTAGATTGCCAGTCATCAACCCGAGTAGCTGCCGATGATGATGCTGATACCAGAAGATATGCTAGTATCTGCCAGTTTTAACCCAAAAAATAAAATCAACAACTATTCACTTCCAGCATCCACAGGGGGGAGAGAGAGAGAGAGAGAGAGAGAGAGAGAGAGGGAGGGGGGGGGGGGGGGGTGGGTGGGTGGGGGGTGTTCTCATGCCTGCTTGTATCAGCTGCAGCATCCAAAAAAACCAAAGAGAAATAATTCATTGTGCATGGTCGTATTTTCATTTGGTCCTAAGAATGTAAACTACATCCACATCGTTAATGTAGGCCTCCACAACAAGCAGAATGCATGAGTCATTTAAGGCCTGATCTGCATAAATTAGTTCTAGTACAAGTAAATGGATCTCCCCTTAACTAGAAGTTGTGGAAACCTCTGCTTAAATGCAGAAGCCAGTAAGCATGGACTTGCAGTGAATTACGAGGGGTAGATTCAATCAGCCATATGCTAGATCAACACAAGGGTATTTCTCATCACTGACAAGAGTTGACCGAAACACTAATGTGTTGACTCATCTGAAGCTGGAATCCAACCCAAGTCACAATCTGATGCTAACATGGGAGTTTGAAGGCACAAAGGACTATTCAAAATAGTGGTCCCACAGAATTATGGTCCTAGGAAAAGAAACCTAGAAATAGTCCCGCATTCAGCTGTCCTATCTTTCTTTCTTAATAGCCAAATTAATCTACTCTCCTTTCAGGAACCATATAATCACCCATTGTAATGTAATCTTTCAATATCCAATTGTCAATGGAGAAACTACCAGCCATGACATGAACGGGTAACTCATCCATCCCTATTATAATCGAGTGAAGATTCATCCTGTGGCTAGAAAAGTACTGAGTTCATACCAAGAAAGAAAGAAAGAAAAAGATATATATATATATATATATATATATATATATATATATAATTGTCTTAAAAACCCCCAAATCATAAATTACAATAAAAAATTAAAACCCAAAAAACACTTAAACAAAAACCTTAATAAACATGAAACCAAGTAACACAACAGCCACTAGCATAGTATATACACTATCATGCATGAAGAAACAGATAAAACATTACAATTTAACATAAATCAATCACCTGATCCATGAATAAATTAAAGTGATGACGAAGATGGTGTCGCATCACATGTTTCCCGGTGGCTATATGATAGCTTAAATCATAAGCTTGAAATCCCGCATACGCAAACCCAATCACGTTTACAGCCAAACAATACCTGCATTCAATCAAATCCCAAAATTTAAAACTAAACCCTAAAATTTTAAAACCAAAAAATAACACACAATTTAAAAAATAATAATAATAATAATTAGCAAAAAAAAAAAACAAGTAATTAGCAATAATTAATCACTACCTACCTGTACTCTTTATATCGATCAAAGGAATCACCACTCCAACCTTGAGTCTTATCAGCAGCCATAACAGAAAAAGATATCAAACACAAAACAATCTCACTAACCCTAAACCCTAATTCACCAATCCTCATCTTCTCTTCTTTCCTCGACCCCCTAACAAACGAGGCCGTCGCCCTCCTCTCCGGCCCCACCTTCCTCACTCCTGCAGTCGGTCCCTGCTCCCTCACCGCCCTGTTCAGCACCGCATCCGGCACCCCCTGCGGAGGCGCCGCGAGGTTATCCGGCGGAATAGGGGAAAGTGCGGGGGAGTACTGAGCAGGCTTGTCGGTGGCCACGACGGCCGTGGAATTCTGAACCAGAGGTTGTGGTTTCTCCGGGGAAGCGATCGGAGAGTGGTAGGGAGGGGTTTCAGGAGGGTCGCCTAGGTCAGATTGGAGAGGGGATTCGAAACGGAGAGGAGAGTGAGGTGATTCGAAGTGCGATAGTGACTCAGAGTTTGAAGAGGATGATCGTTTCATGCTGTTTCGAGGAATTGGAATTTGAATTTTCGGCTTCGAATTGGATTTCGTGGTTTCCATATATATATATATATATAATTTTCTTTTTTTTTCTATTTTCCCGATTTGGTCGCGGTGGTGAATTCACGTAATTTAAAGTGAGTGAGTTTCTGTGTTGTCTGAGAGTGAGGATTGAGGAAGGAAAAGAAAACAGTACTAAACTGCTGTATGATAAAGCGAGAGAAAGTTGGGCAAACTTCAAAAAAGTCCACTATAGTCATCGAGTCGAGTCTCCAAATAATTTTGGGTCCCCGAAGTTTCTTAAATTCTCAATTGAGTAAAGCGTGCGTTGTGAGACCGAACCAGGGCGTAGAATTAGCAACGGAAGGGAGCTGGGTCATCACTTCAGCTGTGTGGGTCTCGGCATGCAATAGATAACAAGTACTGATAAAAATAAATAAATAAATAAACAAAAAGAAGATGAGATATAATAAAACGTATTGTACCAATTTCTTATTTTCCTATGAGTTATTAATAATTTTATCAAGTTCCAATGAAAAAAATTAGCACAACAAGTTTCAATATTCTATCAAAAACTCGATTTAAACAAATGCTTTTGTTTTTTTTTGTTTTTCTTTCTTTCTAAGTCACTTGGTAGTTAGTTTTTAACAAAACCTTATGCAACTTAGTGTTTAATTATTCAGACACAATATTTATACACTAAATATTCGAGAAGAACTACAATATATATATATATATATATATATTAACACATAAAACATTCCAAAGTAAGTTTTGCAAGAAAAAAGAATAAGCTTTCTCATGAACATCTCTCTATATTTATACACAAATCTAAACTATGATATTTATAAATATTGAACAGGCTTGATATGATTTGGTATCTATAGATTTGAAATTTAAATGAAGTTTTTATGGATTTGAAATAGATTGGAATCTAAATTTAAAAACTTTTATTGAAAATTGAAAGAATTTTTTTTAAAATTTGAAGTTGTTCCATAATAATTTCATAACAACTATTTTGTTGGGGGGAAATATGTGAAAGAATTAGATGAAATTTTAATCGAGAATTTTCGAATCCTAAAGACTCATTTGAGATAAAACATTCTTTAGCGAACCAATCGAGACAGAGTCCATACCGAGGGGACTTTTTCTTACGTTTGCCTAAAGAAAGTTTTAAGAGGATAAGGCTTTAATTGTAATGGGAGAGAAGTTTATGGTTTGATTTGTGGGGCCAGGCTCTTGGCGCTGTCAAAAGAGAAGAGTTATGTTGTAATACAAGTGAGATAAAGCGTAAAATAGAAAACAAACACGTCAAAGAGTAGTACGTGATGTGGCAGCTGACTATTGCCTTGGTGGTGACTTTATTTATTACTTAAGAGACTGAAATTCCACGTAAAATATAGCAGCACACTACTGAAGGGAGACAGAATTATTTGTTTTTTTTTTTTTAATTGTTTTCTTTCTCTCTTGATCACTAGGTCTTGTTTTTCTTATTTGCATCCTTTATAGATCGATAGGATCTTTATTAGGCCATTATATCTTTAATGGATTCCAAAATTACATATTTGATTTAAAAAGATAGAGGGTGGGTGAGATGGGGTAGAATTAGCAAAGCCTTTCTTTCAATGGAGACTTTCATATAGTGGACAAGAGTAAAGTTGTTTAGCATTTCTTAAAGAGTGGGCTTTCCTTTGGCTAAAGTTAGAGGTATAAATTCCTACTTTATCATGTTCTTACGCTTACTTGCATATCCCCAACCCCCAACACTTGTCCTCGTACAAAAATAAATAAATAAATAACCACTTTGAGAAGAAAACCTACCAGATAGTGGACCTAGACAGTGCCCTGCTTTCTACATTTCTTAGTTCAATCAACAAGCTAGCCAATTGGCTCTATCAGGAAATTAAGAATATACCCCCCAAAACCACAAGAAAGGCATCAAACCTCTCTCTCTCTCTCTCTCTCTCTAGATTATGATTATTAGTCACACCTTTTTCTTTACAGATAGAATACTTTAATGCCTTAAATAACGAAAATACCCCGGCAGCATTCTTTTCTTTTTCTTTTTTTCTTTTTTCACTTTTTGATACTATGAGAATTTTCAATGCCTTCCTCTCATTGAAAATGCAATGTCTTTAAGCTTTTGGAATTTGCATAGTAGCATATTGATGCTGAAAACTTCATCAACGACCCCTTATAGTCATTGCAATATCAATGCTCTCTTCCATGAACAAGCCATTGATATTTTCATAGCATCCTTAAAAGCACACGTGCATCAAAATAAAGATGCAGTGCTACCAGTTTCATAATAGAAAGAAATTTTACAACACTCAAAAAAATAACTAATTTATATATATAATAGTTATTTCATGAATTTATTTTTCTAATAAAAATATACACTTAAAAAAAATCACATACAAATTCAACAAAAAGGATAAAAAAAAATTCTCTTAAAAATAGCTAATATGTAATTTTCTTTTTCCGTTAAAAAAGAAAAAAATCTGCCACAGGTACAGACTAAATGGGTCCGTGGCAAATATTGGAGACAGATCTTGATGGGTCCCTTTTATTGAATATCAGGAACCAGGCCTGTGAACTTACAGGCCAAACGCAGATATCGTTGAAATTAATCTTGGTGTGGCTCTTGGCACAAATTATTGCGCATCTTTTGTTTTTTTTTGTTTTTTTTTTTTACAAAATTATTGCACATCTTATCCATGGAGAACAAAAGGTCCAAGCAGAGTAAAATATGAATTAGTCCCTTCAGCTTTGAAAAATAAATAAATAAATCTTTATGTTTAAAAACTAATTATTTAGTGTTTTTTCCATTTTAGATTCGTTTTTAATTTGTCTTGTTCTTATATATATATTGACATTATGGAAAGATTAATAAGAAAAAAACATATTATAGAATAAAGTATTATTAAATTGAATATAATCAACACTAAATTAAAAATTAAATAATTAATTTTTAAAATAAAAAGAATAATTAAAGACGCAGTATTACCAATTTCATAATCCAAAAAAAATTATAATAAACAATATCATTGTAAAGAGAAATTTTATAATACACAAAGAGTAATTAGTAACATATACGAGTAGTTACTTCATAAGTCTACTTTGAGAAGAGAGATAGACAAAAAAAAAAAAAAAACAAGAAAGAAAAAATAAATAAAATTTAAACGAACGTAGAAATCTTTTTATCACTTTTGATGAGTATGAATGTATTTTTTTTTTTATCATCTCTCTTCTCAAAATGAACCATTAAAATAATTACTATAGATGTTATTAGTTATTCTTTGTGTATTATAAAATTGATATATTATAAAATTTCTCGCCTTATAACCACCAAACCACCCCACCCCAAGGAAAAAAAAAAAAAAAAACAAAATCCCTTCAAAAGCGTTGCATTATTGTTTGGTAGGAAAAGAAAGCTCTACTACTTAAAGTGGTTACTAACAAGTATTCCATCATGTTACCGTTTGACACTCTCTTTATAACAGCGAAAAAGCGATATACACCTCAAAGATGAAGAAAAGGAGAATAATTTACTTATAGGTGGAAGGCATACAACGAAAACTGCCCCCCACAAAAGACCTTAAAAAAATATATGTTCAAATATTAGGGCTAAGTAACAGGATAATACTGCATTTCTTACACGTAGTTTTACATAGGAACTCTCCCTTCAGTATGTGCTGGCACATTGCCTGATGATAACAAATGTGGTTTAGTCTGGTAGTTTCAACCGGTTAAACAGCACAAGGAAACTTTGTTCAGGAACAACATAAAGGAAGCCAAGATCTGCCCCTCTGACATATGGTCCGATGCCCTAAATGAAGTAATGGAAAGGAATTAAACAAAGTACATATCAAGACAAGAAGAAATGCTAGCAAATATCTTGAAAACGTTTTTTTTCTTTTTTACCCTGCCATTAAGTTGAAGAAGTTCACCATCGACCCATTGTGGATTTTTGAAGCCAAATTCTGCTATTCTTCCTTGACCTTTGTAACTTGCCACCTGGATGGAATTTTACAAACAATTGCATACACTTTTAACTTTCATGGCTAAGTTTGTGATGTGACATATAAAGAGAGAAGTATTCACAAGTGCCTAGCCTATAATTGTTCATAGGTCTATAAATAGTTTGCTTTGCAGAAACCTAAGATTTATCGGATAAAGAGAATCAGCTCTCTGTGTTTTTTCATGAGACTGGTGCAATAACTCTACAGACTTCCGAGGAATTACTTGTTTCAACATTCAGAAGAAAGGTTTGCTTATATTCCATAATTATCAAAAGGTCCACTACATTGCGAATTTCAATAATTTTGTGTGAAGAAAAAAAGCAATGGAAAGGAGAAAAGCAACAAAGATAAAAATAATGGCCTAGATCGAGCTATAGTTATGCTGAGAGAGAGAGAGAGAGAGATCCAGTAGCAAGTATAATTACCACTCCCAGTTCATCTGGATACATTGCCCGGTTGGAATTGCGGCTTCCTTTCCCAATACTGGCACGAAACGTCACCTAAACTTTGTAGTTGGTAAATTGGTTAGTATTAAATTTACATTACTAGCACATAAAAATTAAGCATGATGGCATTAACTTCAAGAAATAAGAAAAATGCAAACCTGGCCAGCAGGGACATTAAGGTCCCCAGTTAACTTCACTGCCTCAACATACTCAAAAAACTCCACATCTGAGGACTGGTCATCCCCAATATTCCAATGACCATATTTACGCCTCAATTGCACTATCTCAGTCCCATAAGGGCCAAAAGCACCAACATACAGGCCTACGATTCAACCAACAGATTATAGCATCAATAATATACATCTTATATTGCTTAAATCAAAAGATAGGAAAAGCATGTGTAGCAAAACTCACCATCAAATGGATCTAAACTGCCATTAGAAGTTGTAACTCTACTGAAAGTTGTATACTCAGATAAACTGCTTTGCTTTTGTGCTTGACTAACAGCAAGTTTGACGATTTCACGGACATT